CGTCGTGTCGAGTGAGTGAGTGTGTGTGTGTGCTCTCACTCTCTCCCTCTCTCTCTCCTCTCCCTCGGCTCACCCTCAGCCTCACTCTCGTTACAATAGCTGTATTTGGGGCAACTTTCCATCTAGTTCCAGTGATAATGACCGTAAGGTGTGCGTTCTCATTTGGGGGAGGACGGCAGCTATGGTGGTCCACCCATGTGTACCACAAATGTTCAAAGGACAACGCAACAACCACTGTGCCTCTCCTATCCCATGCCGCCATAGCCACACTCCCAGGTGCTGCCATAGCCATACTCCTGGATGACGTCCAAGACCAACCAATACCCCAATTTGATGACAAAATGCATCGTTAACTTCTCCTGCGTGCAAAATGCAAATAGTGCAAGCGTACTGTGATGATCCACACTTTCACATGGCTTCTCACATTCATTTTTCACCAAGTTCACACATGAAGCTTCACATGTGAGTCACACTTATGCAGACTGAATCACATTGCAAAATTACTTGTAACTCAAAGTCTTTGACACATCAAGTTGTCTACAAGTGTCCAGATGGCTATGGCTGCCAAGAAGCAACGGGTATGGATCTCTCTCCCTAAACCTAGCCTATGCACGCACATGCAACTCACACACACACACACACACACACACACACACACACACACGCACGCACGCACGCACACACACACGCAACTCGCACACACACGCAACTCACACACACACACACACACACACACACACACACACACACACACACACACACACTACACACATTCTGGTCTTGCTAGCTCTCTGTCTTGGAAGATTTGAGCGGCTAGGATCGGGCTCGTACTAGCGAGCTATTCTCTCTTTTGGTGGATGGAGATGTGTTGTTGGTTTTGTTGATTATACACGGCCTAATTCTTTGCCCTGCTTTAGAGCATGGGCTGTTTGGATGTTTACGGGTGGCCACGAGTTCTCTTTGGGAGGAATGTATGTTTTGTTGGCCGGCGTGGAAGGCTTTCCCAGTTTTTACGGACCCTTAGCAGGGGGGGTCGTTGCGTTCTTGCTGGAGGAGTCTTCTGTCTTAGGTAAGTTGTCTCTTATCTTCGTCCTCCTCTTTGGCAGTGACGCTAGTGTGTAGTTTGAGATGAATGTCGGGAATGCCAATGCTGTTATATTTGTTTGTTTTAGGTGAATGAGTTTTTGGTTTTGTGGGCCGATGCGGAAGGCTCTCCAAGTTTTTTCGGGCCTTCGAGGGGGCGGGGTCGGTGCCTTCTTGCTGGGGTAGTCTTCTGTCGTAGGTCAGTTGCCTTCTGCCCTCCATTCCCTTTTGGACTTTGAAATATATATGAGTATTATGGACACATATGTATATGTGCAAGTGTGCCGCTTTGGCGGCAGACGGGTGTGTGGGCACTTGGTGCGGAACCACGCAAACGTGGCCAACCTTGCATTTTGTATTATACTGCCTATCTATACTTTTTCCGAAGTTTTTTGTTATTGATGGCTTGCGACTGCACGTTCTATTCGAGGGAAAAAGATGGTAGGTCTGCTCCACACCTGTCAGCAAGACAGCTATATGACATGCGCACAGCCAAAAGTTGCTTTTTTTTAATAATTATAAATTTGGACCATTACTCGATTGATGTGTGTCATCCTTGGGCAGGGCCAATGATAATCTTCTGTCTCTGTATCGTTCCAATTTTAACGCATGTCCCGAAGGACAGTTGAAATATTTTTTCAGACCACGATATCAAGAATCAGTGTTTGGGTGTTCGTTCAGGTTCCTTGCCCCACTGCCCAGTTTACCTACTTTTGCAGTCTGTGTTCTTTCCTCTTCCTGTCTCTAGTCGTGTTTGCTGTTCAGGTACGTTCTTTTTATCCCCCATACTTCCCCTGTGTGCGTCTCACACCTCTCCTCGCTGATTGTGTTTTTCTCCTCTCCAGGTAAACGCTTTGCTGGGCGAGGAGAGAGTCCTGACAGGTGCAGAACCTGGACTGACCCGAGACTCAGTTCGAATCCGCTTCGAATATCAAGGCAGACCTGTCTGGCTTGTATGGACACATTCCCCTGAGCTGTGATTCGATCCCTGAGAAACAGGTCTGGACGTGATTGCTGCCAGATGCATCCAGGTCCGGCTGTAATTGCGGTCTGATACATTAAGAAAAGTGTTAGTGTGGCTTGTTAGCTGCTTCCCCTGGCTTTCCTTGTTCCTGAGCTGAGATTCAATCCCTCAGAAATTGAGAATATTTTCTTTCTCTGCTCCTCCTGCTTTCGGTGGCTTTCCTTTTTCATAATCTGCGATTCGATCGCTGAGAATTGTGTGTCCTTTTTCTGATCCTACTCTTTTACTGAATACCCTTCTTGGCCTTTTGGCTAAAAATAGTAAAAATAGATCGAGTGCAATGTATCTGTTGATTCTGTTCTGATCGGTTTAATATCTGATCCGCGGTCCATTGGGCCACATAAAAAAAAAAAACGACCTGCCATCTTGTAAATTTCATGCATTAACACTTCGAGTTGGTTTCTTTAAAAAAAAAAAATTCATAGTCT